GAGAGAGTATGAGTGTGTGAGCGTGAGAGAGAGTGAGCGTGAGAGAGAGAGAGAGAGAGAGTGTGTGTGAGAGAGCGAGTGTGAGTGTGTGAGTGTGTGGGAGAGATTGTGTGAGGGAGAGAGTGTGTGAGCGAGAGAGAGTGTGAGTGTGTGAGCGAGCGAGAGAGTGTGTGAGCGAGAGAGTGTGTGAGAGCGTGTGTGTGTGTGAGTGAGTGAGTGAGCGTGTGTGAGTGAGTGAGCGTGTGTGAGAGAGAGAGTGTGAGTGTGTGAGAGAGAGAGTGTGAGTGAGAGTGTGTGTGAGAGAATGTGTGCGAGTGTGTGTGTGTGTGTGTGTGTGTGAGAGAGAATGTGTGAGTGTGAGAGGGAGAGTGTGAGTGTGAGAGGGAGAGTGTGTGAGTGAGAGGGAGTGTGTGTTGTGAGTGAGTGAGAGGGAGGGAGTGTGTGTTGTGAGTGAGTGAGAGAGGGTGTGTGTGTTGTGAGTGAGAGAGAGAGGGAGTGTGTGTTGTGAGTGAGAGAGAGAGGGAGTGTGTGTTGTGAGTGAGAGAGAGGGAGGGAGTGTGTGTTGTGAGTAAGAGAGAGGGAGGGAGTGTGTGTTGTGAGTAAGAGAGAGGGAGTGCGTGTGTGTGTGTGAGAGGGAGGGAGTGTGTGTTGTGAGTGAGAGAGAGGGAGTGTGTGTTGTGAGTGAGAGAGAGAGGGAGTGTGTGTTGTGAGTGAGAGAGAGAGGGAGTGTGTGTTGTGAGTGAGAGAGAGAGGGAGTGTGTGTTGTGAGTGAGAGAGAGAGGGAGTGTGTGTTGTGAGTGAGAGAGAGAGGGAGTGTGTGTTGTGAGTGAGAGAGAGAGGGAGTGTGTGTTGTGAGTGAGAGAGAGAGGGAGTGTGTGTTGTGAGTGAGAGAGAGAGGGAGTGTGTGTTGTGAGTGAGAGAGAGAGGGAGTGTGTGTTGTGAGTGAGAGAGAGAGGGAGTGTGTGTTGTGAGTGAGAGAGAGAGGGAGTGTGTGTTGTGAGTGAGAGAGAGAGGGAGTGTGTGTTGTGAGTGAGAGAGAGAGGGAGTGTGTGTTGTGAGTGAGAGAGAGAGGGAGTGTGTGTTGTGAGTGAGAGAGAGAGGGAGTGTGTGTTGTGAGTGAGAGAGAGAGGGAGTGTGTGTTGTGAGTGAGAGAGAGAGGGAGTGTGTGTTGTGAGTGAGAGAGAGAGGGAGTGTGTGTTGTGAGTGAGAGAGAGAGGGAGTGTGTGTTGTGAGTGAGAGAGAGAGGGAGTGTGTGTTGTGAGTGAGAGAGAGAGGGAGTGTGTGTTGTGAGTGAGAGAGAGAGGGAGTGTGTGTTGTGAGTGAGAGAGAGAGGGAGTGTGTGTTGTGAGTGAGAGAGAGAGGGAGTGTGTGTTGTGAGTGAGAGAGAGAGGGAGTGTGTGTTGTGAGTAAGAGAGAGGGAGTGCGTGCGTATGTGTGTGTGTGTGAGAGGGAGGGCGTGCGTGTGTGTGTGAGAGGGAGTGTGTTGTGAGTGAGAGAGAGGGAGTGCGTGTGTGTGTGTGTGTGAGAGTGGGCGTGCGTGCGTGTGCGAGAGTGCGTGTGTGTGTGTGTGAGAGTGAGTGAGATCTTAAAGACAAGGGTCTTTTTCTCTTTTCTTTAATAGTGTCAATAAATCAGACAATATTTGGCTGTTTTGTTCTAGGCATCAAGCGTTTCCATTCCTGACAAGATAAGAGAATTTCTGTTTTGAAAAAATGTTTAGTCAAATAAGTGTTTTGTTGAAATGTTTAAGTAACAATGAATTTAAAGTGACATTTCAGGAGAAGTAGAACAACTGAAATAGTGTTTTGTAAAATAAAAACAATAATCATTTAAATGAACCGCTTTGGAAACTCTTTCTTTCCGGTGTGTGCGTGAACACACTTGTGTTTCTTCACTGTGAGCGCACTCATCTGTGGAAAATAACACACTCTGTCTGATTTCTGTCTGTGTTTTTTGCACACATGAGAGTGACTGAGCTGCTGTGTGTTCTGATGCAGAGGCAAACCCATCAAGGGGTTCTTTACAGCGCCGCTGCATCATGGGTAATAATCAGACTGATGCTCCCTGACTCACACTCATGTTCTGGTATAAAATACAGTGAGATCAGGACTAGCCACGCTAATATTTAATATTTCCCTGTGTGATTATGACAGACACTCTTAAAGGCAGCTTCTGTCACTTAACACTAAACACACTGACTGCTTTAGCGGGGCATGTTGTCACACTCTGGGATAAGCTTTAATAATGACAACGATTTACAAAGTATAAAAAGCCTTTTTCCAGCATGTATCTGTACTTTAAATGTATTAGACTATTTAATGGCTTTTCATTAGGATTTTAACAATAAAACAATTGTAAGCCTTGTAACCTAACTTAAAGTCATTATCAGAAACACCCAAAATAATTCCAAGTAGCACAGATTAATATATATATATATATATATGAAATTATGTAGTATACTATATATAATATAATATAGGCAATGTCAACGTAAAAGCAAACTATAATCATTAAATCATTCTGTATTATGTATTGCACGTAATTTGGGGAGTTTAAAAGGCACTCATTTTTTTTCAGTTGCTTTATGGATTGAAATAAAATGTTAATTTAAATGCATTTGTCAAACTAAACCTACAAAGCAATTTATGTAGAATGTATTTTGGCAATTATTATTTTCTATCGTTTGAATTGCATACAAATCAAATATATTTCATATCCATATACCATTACATATTTATATAGACTGGCCATTATTAACATTATTTAAATGAAGTTATGATTTGTTTTGTTTAGGAGACTCATACAAATTGTGCTTTTGTGTGACTTTATTTACAAAACTAAAACGTAAAGGAAAACAGCAGCAAGAGTCCAGCACAAGGGAATAAATAAAACGATATAAATAAAGAGCTGAGTCTGAATTTTGTGCACACACACACACACACACACACACACACACACACACACACTGACACACACACACACACACACATACACACACTGACACACACACACACATACACACAGAGCGGCCAGGAGAGGGAGGAGGAGAGTCGGCAGTCATCTGATTCTTTTCCTGTCCCACCCTCTACCGGACTGACGGGAGGAGTTCACGGTAAACGGGCTCAACGCACCGACTTTGCGAGCGTCTCTGAGCCGCGCGAATGAAGACGATCGACGCGGAGCGGTAGAAACGACGCGACGGCATTGAAACAGCTAGACGCGATCAGCCGCGCGCCTCTTCCTGCTCCAGCCGCCCAGAAAGAAGTTCCAGAACTCGAGCAGAACTTCAGAAACCCATCAGACCCGCGATGATCGGTCCGGACGGAGAAACCTGACGACGCGATCCAGCCGAGCGCGTTTCTGAGCGCGTTTGGCCGCGGGTCGAAGCGGCTTTTCCTGCTATTCTTCTTCTGAGCGCTTCCTGCTCGGGCAAAACCACCAGCAGCTAAAAATACTGAGCCCTCAATGGAGCCCTGAGCACAGACTTCAACTCTCCAGGGCCGATGCCGATGGGTTTTAGAAGGACTTGAGATCTTGTTGAGATGTTTTCCTCTCCTATGTGATGTTTTCGGGGTAAATGCTCCTCGAGTGACTGATTTGGCATCTACATGGGGATCGATGTCTGATGGAGACGCTTCCACCGATGATCCGGGCGTACAGGGTTGTGACGAACCCACCTGAACTTCTACATCACACTTCTTCTGATTTCACTCAAAGCGCCTTGTAAACGCTCAATGGAGCCACTGAAGAACATATTCTCCCACGGGCCGCTGTCCCCCTGGAAGAGCCTGGATCAGAATCAGAAGGGCAGCTTCACCAACCCGGTTTGGACCGCTTTGTTCGATTACGAGGCTGCGGGGAAAGACGAACTCACGCTGCGTAAAGGGGACCTGGTGGAGGTCCTGTCTCTGGATTCAGAGATATCCGGAGACGAAGGATGGTGGGCGGGAAAGGTCAACAACAAGGTGGGAATCTTCCCCTCCAACTACGTCTCCTTCAAGCCCAGCGGATACGGTGAGCTGCAGGGCTCCAGTTTGGGACCGAGCGAGTTGGAGCCGGAGACGGTGGACTTCAGCGAGCTGAGTCTGGAGGAGGTCATTGGGGTCGGCGGGTTCGGGAAGGTCTACCGAGGGACCTGGAAGGGTGAGTTGGTGGCAGTGAAAGCGGCCCGTCAGGATCCGGACGAGGACATCAGCGTCACAGCCCAGAATGTCCAGAACGAGGCCCGGCTCTTCGCCATGCTCCAGCACCCCAACATCACCGCGTTTAAGGGCGTTTGCCTGCAGGAGCCTAACCTGTGCCTGATCATGGAGTACGCGTCTGGCGGCCCGCTGAGCCGCGCTCTGGCCGGACGACGGATCCCACCGCACGTTCTGGTCAACTGGGCGGTGCAGATCGCCCACGGGATGCAGTACCTGCACAACGAGGCCATCGTCCCCGTCATCCACCGAGACCTCAAGTCCAACAACAGTGAGTCCACGTCCTTCTGTTCTAGACATGCTCACTTTCCAGCAGACATTTATGCTGTTTTATTCCAAGATACTTACTTTGGATTCAAGCTGTATATTATATAAGTTCATGCATTCACTGGGAATCAAATCCATGACCTTGCGTTTCTATTACTTTTTTAATAGCCACAAGAATTTAGACTAGGGAATGACCGTAAAGGAGACATTTTTTTTATATTTACATTAATACATTTGGTAGAGACATTCTGAAGCAATGTACATTGCATTAAGTCTACATATCTGGTCAGTTCATTAATTTCCTGGGAATCGAACCCATGACCTTGCGTTTCTATTACTTTTTGAGTACCACAAGAATTTAGACTAGCGAATGACCGTAAAGGATCCATTTATTGTATTTTTACATTGCATTCAATCTATACATTTGGTCAGTTCATGCATTCCCTGGGAATCAAATCCATGACATTTTTGTTGAGCTACAAAAATGCTAAATTGTCCTTTATAATCCCATATAAATCCTTTATAAACCCATGACCCTGCATTTCTATTGCCAAACTCTACTTTTTGAGTGCCACAAAAGTTCAGACCAGCTAATGACCATGGAGGATCCATTTATTTTATATTTGCATTATTGCATTTGGCAGACACTTTTTTTTCCCGACGCAACTAACCCAAACATTGCATTCAATCTACACATTTGGTCAGTTCATTCATTCCCTGGGAATCGAACCCATGACCTTGGTGTTTCTATTACAGGTTAGATCAGCTAATGATAATAAAGGATCCATTTCTTTTAAATTTACAAAAATGCATTTGGCAGATGCTTTTTTCCAAAGCAACATGCATTGCATTGTCCACACATCGGTCAGTTCATGCATTTCCTGGGAATCGAACCCATGACCTTCTCGTTGAGCTACAAGAATGCTCAATTTTCCTTTATAATCCCATTTCTGTTAGAGTCCATCTCAACGTTCCCATTTTTCCTCCAGTATGGTCCATTCTGGGGTTCATTCAGCTGCTGGCACTGTTGTGTTTTGGTTTGGGATTATTATCAGGCCCACATGGAATCTCGCCCGCAGAACTCGGGGAAAAGCTCTGCAGGTTTCCGCAGAGTCGTAACGCCCTTCATTTACAGAGCTCTACATCCTCTGCCTGTTGCATGCGCATTTGGTTTGGTATTGTGTCTAACTCGATTGTGCATTCAGCTCTGTTGGTGTAAATTTAGCTCTACTTAAATCGATTCCACAGAATTCCACCAATAATCTTTTTAAAATTCCATCTGGGCCTCGATAGTATTTATTGGGTTTATTTGGTTGTGCTCCAGGACTCTGAGAGAATCGCCTGTTTCGGAGAAGAGGATATTCCCATGGCATGTATCACACAGTTGTGAAGGGAATGCTGTTGGCCTGGATATCAAATGACTCACACACACACACACACACACACACACACACACACACTTTGCCAAGTTGTGAAACTCGATAACAAGACCACACACGGGTCAAAGATCATATTAGGACACAGACATACGGAGCTGGACTTTGTGTTTGCATTGCTCATTATATTGTACCATGTTTATTTGTCGTGTACTGATAGATATTTATGCACCTATAAAACTGTACAGCCTTGATTTTACTCAGACCAAAGTAAATGTATTATTCTTAAATGTAATGATCATGTCTTATGATTAATATATTTAACATATTTTCATCCAGCAGCTGACCATGTTTCATAAAAGCATAATAATCCAAATGAACAGTAATATTTAATTGGTCCCAACTGTAGGCTCTTGGTAAAAATACATATTAAATTCTAACATGAATTGCAGGCGTGTATTTTTCAGCATTAGCAAAGACTTTGATCGCAGCTCATCCAATCAGAATAAAGAGTCAGAACTATAAATATTTATCTTGTAAACACGGAGTTGTTTAATGAGAAAGTTTTTTGTTGAGTCAGTAGTTTAATTTGAAGAGTTTCTTTAATCAGTAGTTTAATGTGAACTCTTTATTAATATACATATTACATTTGAACACAAATTACAGGTGTTTATTTTTCAGCATTCTCAGAGACTTTGATCACAGAATATGGAGTCAGAACTATTAATGTTTATCTCGTAAGCACTACGTATACAGAGATGCACAGTGCTTTTTAAAAGCGAGTATTTGTAGTCTTCCTTCCTCATTTTTTCTTTCTTTTTCCCCACTCTCTTACACCTTTACCCAGTGTCTGTTTGGTTATTGTCCACCCACGTATATCCCATGATCCTTACTTCCCTCGAGTCAGGAGAGAGCGTGTCCGGCGGGCTGGAAACCACCTCAGTTGCGTAAAACAAACTTTTTAATGCCGGCTCGCAAAACACACTGCAGCCAAAGCAGCTCAGTTTACCGGCTGTAGCTGCGATCTTATCTCTCTCTCTCACTCTGCCTGTTGTTTTTTAATTCTTTCCGAGCTCTTTGTCCCAGACCTGCTCTTACTTGTCTCTCGAGCTCTGTCGTTCTAGATCGCAGCATCCTGTGTTTTTCTTTCTTCTTTCGTCTGTTTCTCTTTTTTTCCCCCAGCTAACTTCATTTTTTGCTTCCTACTCATTTTCTAAAGACAGCCTCCCTCTGTTCCTGCGCTCCGCTCGATGACGGAGGATCATGGGCCGGCGCTCAGTCTCTGCCGGTAGTTCAGCGTCAATTATTTCAGCAAAGAGCTCCTTCGCTTCTCATTATTTCATCACTAGTTTAATCTCAAGAGTTTGTTTTTCAGTTAGTAGTTTAATTAAGCTTTCTGTCTTTTAATCAGTTGTTTAAAAGTGAAAAGTTTCTTCTTTAATTGGTAGTTTAGTTTGAACAGTTTCTTTATTCAGTAGTTTAATGAACAGTTTCTTCTTTAACCGGTAATTTAAAGAGTTTCTTCTTTATTCAGTAGTTTAGCATGAAGAGTTTATTTAATCATTAGTTTAATGTAAAATAGTTTCTTCTTTAATCAGTGGTGAAATGTTAAGAATCTTTTCTTTATTCAGTAGTTTATCGTGAAAAGTTTATTTTTCAGTAGTTTAATGAACAGTTTCTTCTATAACCGGTAATTTAAAGAGTTTCTTTAATCAGTAGTTTAGCATGAAGAGTTTCTTTAATCAGTAGTTTAGCATGAGAGTTTCTTTATTCAGTAATTTAGTTTGAAGAGTTTCTTTATTCAGTAGTTTAGCATGAAGAGTTTCTTTATGCAGTAGTTTAGTTTGAAGAGTTTCTTTATTCAGTAGTTTAGCATGAAGAGTTTCTTTA